TGTCTCCTGACCTCACACATTCACTGAGGCACACACAGGTCTTACTTACTTACACTCATGTACACAAAGTAAATACACAAATCAATAAAATATAATAAAAATGTTAGTAAACGGGACCAATATACTAGGCTGACCTGAGATCAACTGTGTTAAAATATCTGCATCAAAAACTTAATTTTAGGGACTGGAGAGATGGCTTAGTGGTTAAGAGGACTGACTGCTCTTCCAGAGGACCCAGGTTCAGTTCCCAGCACATGGTAGCTTTCAACTGTCTGTAACTCTAGTTCCAGAGAATCCAATACCCTCATACCAATGCCCATAAAATAACATTACATTTTTTAAAAACTTAATACGTTAAAAAGGTGACCACAACTCACTATTAATTCACTGATTTACTGATATATTAGGGATATATTGGGCTAAACAAAATACAATATCAATGTGAATTTCTCCTGTTTCTCTGTACAATTACATAAAGCCAGGCATGGTCTGGCGTCTGTAACCTCGGTTCTAAGGGAGCAGAGGAAGAGATCCCTGAAGCCTCTTGGCCCTCCAGGTCTAGCAAATCAGTGAACTCCGGGTTAGGAAGGAGGCCCTGTCTTAAAAAACAAGGTCGGGTTGGAGGGCTGGAGAGATCTCTCAGCAGTTACAAAGACTTTTTGCTTTTGCAGAGGACCTGGGTTTGACTTCCGGCGCTTACATGGTGGTCTATAACCATCTGCAACTCAAGTTTCAGGGGATGCGATGCCCTCTTCTGGCCTCCCTAGGCACCAGGCATGCATATGGTACAGATATACAGGCAAAACACCCATACACATAAAATACCAATACATTAACGGAAAATTATTTTAATCTACAAAATTTGCAAAGGCTAGAGTTGTATCTCAGTGACAGAGTACTTGCCTAGCATGTGCACAGTCCAGGGTTCAATCCCCAGCAACGCAATAACAACAACAACAACAACAACAATGGTGATAACAGTAATTTTTTAAGTGATGAGGTTACTTTAGTTCTACATTGCTAAAAGTTATGAAGTCTTACAAATTCAATGACTTGAAACAATATCCAAGCTGGGCTTTTAATCCCAGCACTTCTGAGGCAGAGGCCAGCCTGGTCTACAGAGTAAGTTCCAGGACAGCCAGAGTTACACTGGAAAAACAATAACAGCAACAAAAACCCAAAGCTCACTTCATCTCGGTAAGCCAGAAATCCGACTCAACTCACTTTTCACAGGGGAAGACACATGTTAATGTGCCTGGGACATTTGCACATAAGGCATCTGCTGGCTGCTCAGGACAGACTTACATCTGTTTGTGATGTCAGCGTGGACCTGTCCCCAGGCTCCCACCTTGCGTTTGCATTACATGCATCTCAAAATCCCTGAGAGCTGTGAAGAATGTGTGTGAGCAGTCAAACACAAATCCATTTAAGACTCACTCTGAAACAGCATCCTCCCTAGATCTTGTGAAAATCTTCCCAATTGTCTCCTGGGGGCCTGTCTGCCCGCCTGTCTGCTGAGGCCAATTAACGTTGACAATGTCTGGGAGCAGTCAAGATATAACTGTCCCTCTCCCTCACCAGAGTTTGGGGATGCAGCTAACACGGCATTTGTCTTATCTAGGATGGGAAAAGGGAGCCAGAGACTGCCCCACCCGGCAGTTTCTGGCTACGCGGTTCTGCCGAGCACACAAAACGGCTGGTCCATAAATAGCTAATCAGTTTAATTCGCAAAAGAAAGATTTGTGAAAAGAGTTGAGAAAGTTGGGGGAAGTGAGGTGACTCAGGGGGCATAGGAGCTTGTTAACATGACCGGCCTGAGGACCTGAGCTCTCTCTGGGCGACCTAACATGGTGGAAGGAGAGAACCAACCCCTGCAAGGTAACCTCTGACCCCCCCACACATGCCAGCCATGGGCAAACACACATAAATGCACACACAATAAACAAATAGAATTGTAAAAATCGTGTGCATGCATGTGCACGTGCACAAACACACATATACACACATTTAAAGTGTAAATCAAACCACCTTCCTCTGACACACTTCCCAGGAACTGAACCAAATCATCTTGTGTTTGGCAAACTTTTTAGAATAAAGAACCCAGCGTATCAATAACGTCTGCAACTTCGGTGTTTCTTTCCTTCCTTTTCGGAGGAAAGCAATGTTCTTTGTTATTTTTCTAGACTAGGTTGGGGCGGAGGGAGGTATTTTCTTCCTGGCTCGATTCTCAGAATGTCTTGCATTAGCCCCTATTTTAGAAATTATGGGGCTGGAGAGTTGGCTCAGTGGTTAAGAGCACTGGCTGCTCTTCCAGAGGTCCTGAGTTCAATTCCCAGTAACCACATGGTGGCTCACAACCATCTGTAATGGGTTCTGATGCCCTCTTCTCGTGTGTCTGAAGACAGCTACAATGTATTCATACATAAAATAATACATTTTAAAAGAAAGAAAGAAAAAAATAGGGCAGTGTCTTAGTTTCAGTCTGCTACAGGTGGCCCACAGGTGAAGATTTCCGTGAGTTGGTTGGCTAGGGGAGAGACCGAGAAACTGAGAGTTCTGGAAAACTAGGCTTTAGACCTCCCAATGGGAACCAAGGGAAACGGGGTGAAAGACAAAGAAAATAAGCAGTTTACAATCCAGTGTTAGCAAAGATAAACTCCGGGGTAGGGCAGCCACTACCGCAGCTCAAGGCCGCAGCTGGAAGCCAATTTAGGCAGAAAAGGTGCCCAGAAGGACTTCCTAGAGCAAATGACTTTCAGACTGAGCCCAAAGAAGCCAGTTCAAGTCAGATCCACCAGCCAGGTCACAGGAAACAGAATACAGATACCACTAACACAGTGAAACAAACAAAAATATACAAATCCAAACAACAAAATGCTAATTTTTCACATCAAGAATCTTCAGAAATGAAGCTTCAGATGTTTGCTGTAGCTGCTGTGGCCAAGTCCAGAGAGAGGAGCTCAGTACACAAGAAGGGACAGAGATGGGATTCTGGGAAAACGTTTTGGAAGCATTGACAGATTAAGCAAGCAATTTCAGGGCTCAATATTTACCAGGACACACCCTCAAGTATCCCCAAGAGATACCCGCGAAGGAAGACACTGTACAAATGTGTCCTGCTAGAATAAAACAATTCCTTTAGGCTACATAAGAAGAAAACATAAACCACACGGAAACAAAAGTAGTCCCCCTCCTAATCCCTACGCCGTTCCTCCGGTCTGTAAGCAGGAATCTGGTCTTTCAGACCCCAACAGGGAACTAGTGTATTCACACCTCTTTCTGTTTGTCAAGGTCACAGTGAAAACAGCCATTAGTTTGTTAATGAAGGAGCCCCAGCCTTCTCGGAAATAACAGATTCCTCCCCTCCCCCGCCCCATTCCCACCCCCCAGTGTTTCAGGAACTGGAAAAGTGGCTGGAAGCTCTTTGTGCCTGGGGATGGGAGGGAAAGGGGGAGAGGGTAAAGAGACTGGGTGTGAATTCCTGGGCCTGTCTAGGTCTTCCCAGAGGACTAGAACGGAAGTAAATCACCGTCGAAGCCTTTGGCGAAGGTGGGGGTGGGCTGTTGGTTTGGTTATTTCGAGGTTGGGTTTTAGCTGTGCCGGGTGATACGTGCTTGTAACCTCGGAATTTGTGCGTAAACGGTAGCAGAAGGTCGCCAAGTTTCATGCCAGCCTGATCTTGAGACCCTCAAAAGAAAGGAAGGAGGAAACGAAAAGTAGTTTTGCCCTGCAGCACAGGCTGGCTTTAAATTCACCCTGAAGGCCAGGCTGGCTTCTGACTTCAGCCCTCCTCCTCCACCTCTCAAGTCCTAAGAATCACGGGCCTGTGCTACCATGTCCAACTGTTGTGATCTATATAACAATGTGCGATGTATATCCGTATGTATCACACACGGATCTGTTTCTCTGCGGGTTGTGCCATCTAGCAACAGAGAGGTACAGCTCCACTTACAAGTCAAGGCCCTCCCCATCCGCCCACCAAAAAATTAAACTAGTAAACTGCAGATTATCTACGTAACACACTGGGTTGGTCTGAGGACCCGGAAGAACCAAGTGACCTCCAATAGTGCTGCTGAAGCCACAGATTTAAGCTTCAGGCAGCCGCTCGCCCCCGCGCCCACCCGCAGGCTCCGGGCCAGCGCTTGCAATCCAGACGCCAGGAGCCCAAACCCAGACTCAAATCCCTCCCGACCTTGACCTTGCACCACACGCAAACAAGTCCTCGCCGGCTGTCGGCGCAGCTTCCCTAGCTACCCAAGCTTTCACGGCCTCCAGCACCCGGCTCCACTGGGTGTTCGGATGAACGCAAATGCAGAGTTAAAATTGGGCAGTTACCCTGGCGGTGGTATGCCTTTAATCCCAGCATTCGGGAGGCAGGGGCAGAGAGACCTCCTGGGTTCGAGGCCAGCCTGGTCTACAGAGAGAAACTCTCGAAAACAAAACAAAATAACAAATGTTGATAATGAAGTATCAAATACCTGTACATTTATACATGGTGTTTAGACTTTCCTAATTACTTTCGTGTTTGACCACCTTGGTAAAATAACTAGACTCTTCAACTCCCTTTCTCAAGAGAGGTGAAAATTTGCATATAACCAGACAGTTCTAGTTAACCAAGTTTATCTCTGGGACTTGCAGCTTCAGGGCCTAGTAATGGGCGTAGTAGGCTCCCGTCTCCCCGCCCACCTGAGGGTCCGCCCATACACCTTGTGAAGGGAGGAATATTCCTCGGAAGTGCTTTCTCTATCGCAAACCTTTTATAGGAAGAAGAGGTCCCATCCCCCACTGATCTACACCGAGATCTTGGCTGCTAACTTCCCACAGACTCTCCCGGACAGGACAGGCGCCTTTCTCATCCGGCATCTCTTCCTTTTTAATCTGCCTTTTTCATTTTGTGAAATTAGACTTTGGGTGTTTTGGGACTAGTTCTATGAACTGACGCCATTTGCTAATACTGTCTTTCTTGTATTTTCCTCCAACGTTTTTACAAGCCGTGGAAGATGGGGTACTTCTCAACCAGGTATGAGCTAACCTTGACTTTTTGATTGCTGGAGATAGCCACTTCCGAAAAATCATGTTTTAAGCCTCTCTGATTTTACTTTGCTTGAACCTTAAAAGGTTGTCAGGAACATTGCTGCTTTCCCTGAAGAACCTAGAACTGTATAGTTAGATACATACTACTTTGCCATCTGCTTCTTCTTTTTCTTCTTCTTTTTTTTTTTTTTTTTTTTTTGGTTTTTTCGAGACAAGGTTTCTCTATGTAGCCTATGTAGCCCTAGCTGTCCTGGAACTCACTCTGTAGACCAGGCTAGCCTGGAACTCAGAAATCCACCTGCCTCTGCCTCCCAAGTGCTGGGATTAAAGGCGTGCGCCACCACCGCCCGGCTGCCATCTGCTTCTTAAAATATCAATTTTTTTATGTCTCTCTGTGTGTGTGTGTGTGTGTGTACGTATGTGTACGTGAGAGTGGAGGTTAGGCGATGGTTTACTGGAATCGGATCCTTTGGGTCCTAGGCATCCATCTCAGGTGGTAAAGGGGTTCATCTCATCAATCATGCTGATGACTGCCAGAGAAATAATGCTTTCCTTCTCTTGCATAAATAATATTAATATTACAGCGGAATTAAGACTGCCTCTAAAAGTTAATGGTGAAGACATTAAATACTTAAGAAAACATTAAGAATAACAAGCCAATTGAACTTGGAACCATTTCAAATGACAGAATAGGTTTTTCCCAGTGGTGCTGGGCATTAAACCACTTGCACATGGTAGGCAAATCTACTCCAGCCCCAATCCATACAGCCACTTAAAAATTTATATATGCAAACAATGCGCCGTGAAAAAATATGCAGCGTATGCAACGTAGAATTGTTTAGCTATTTAGTTTTATAAGTACTTGTGTGTAAGGGTGGGGCCTAAGGAATATACATGATGAAATATTGGATGTTGGGGACTTGTTTTGAATAGTTAATGCAAAACACAGCCCTTGCTCCGAAGGGTCAGAGAGTTTATTCTGAGCCATGTAGGGATGACCATGGTTTGGGGACAGGGATTCATATTACCCTAAATGAACATGGAAGAGGTTACATGAGCTCCTTGGTAGTCCCAGAACAAAAGAAAGTGTAAGTCTGATTTGTGTACGTTAACTGTATACATGTAAAGAATGTAACCATTAACTGTGTGCCAGTGAAGACATCAGGTTGGGTTCCAGCCTTAGTTTTCTCTGGAGCTGTGATCTGCCTACTCTGCTTCGTCCAGGCAGTTTTTATGTGACTGCCAAAAGGATATTAAGTCACATACACAGGTTCATGGTAAACAGCCATCACATGCTCGTTAAACATAGCCCAGGATAATTTGGGTTGCTAGCGTGCAGCATTCCAATGCTCTACAGTCACAAATATCAGTCCTCTATAAAGTCATCAACATGTGGCTTTTTAAAAAGATTTATTTATTATGTATACTGCATTCTGTCCGCATGTATCCTTGCAGCCCAGAAGAGGGCACCAGATTTCAGATGGGTATGAGCCATTATGTAGTTGCTGATGAACTCAGGACCTCTGGAAGGGCAGGCAGTGTGCTCTTAACCTCTGAGCCATCTCTACAGTCCAACACGTGGCTTTTTAAAAGAGGGAACTTCTGTCCAGTTTTGTTACTGGAGGCAGTGAGGTGGCGCTGTTCATGTTCTCCTTCGTGGCCTGTGCCCTCATGCTGCAGTCTCCAATTTCCTGCTTGGTTTGCTAACTGATGTCCAATTTCCTTCTCCCAGTGTGCTTTTACTTGTGGCCATTTCCAATGCATTTGAACTTGGACTCGTTGCTGGTGAGTTTCCTTTTGTTTGTGGTTCAGGGTTTTGTCTTTTTTTGGGGGGGGGGGCTGGGTCTTCAAGACAGGATTTCTCTGTATAACCCAGGTTGCCTTGGAACTCACTCTGTAGACCAGGCTGGCCTTGTACTCAGAGATCCACTTGCCTCTGCCTCTGGAGCTCTAGGATTAAATTCGCGTGGCACCACTGTATGGTTGGGGTTCAGGGTTTTGAGACTGGATGTCACAGAACCCAGGCCGTCCCGGGACCCCTGCTCCTCCTGCCTCCTCCAGTCCCGGAGCTAATATCATCTCCAGTGAGCTTTGTATACACACACACACACACACACACACACACACACACCAAAGGCGCGCACACCAATACACTTTTTTCTTGGGCTTTGGTTAAGATCTTGTATCCCAGGCTGCCTAGGAACTCAGAATACAACCAAGGTTGAGCTTGAACTTCTGATTCTCCTGCCTCTGCCTCCCAAGTTCACTGCCAAATCTGGCTGAGGTTTTGTTTTTGTTTTGTTTGTTTGTTTTTGACCAGCAACTTTTGTTGTCATTGTTGTTCATGTGGTACTGTGGATTTAATCCAGACTTTGCACTTATTGGACATACTCCCAGATTACCCTCCGCCCCACTCCCACCTCTGCGTCAGCATTAATAAACCTTAGGCTCACTTAGTACACTGCCGTTGAGCTTCATCCACAGTCCTTAGTGCTTTGCGACAGGGCCACTCAGTCTCACCTCTAACTGCATCCCTCCTCCTCCTCCTGAGCACGGAGTCGTAGGCAAGCCCCTACTTGTTGGTGGATGATGGGGGGAGGTGTTTTTCTTATGAACACCAACAATGTTTTATGTGGCCTAAAATACATAATACAGGGATGGGCCGCCGTGAGCTGGCTATTCCGTCTCAGAGATACCTCACCATCAGAGATAACAGCATTTGGGACCAGAAAGAACCTGCAGTACGCGATCGCGATCGGTCTTCCCAGTTCGTGCCTTCCATGAGGATACAGAGTAGTAAGACTTTTGCCTTAATCCGTCTCGGTCATGGCCCTTGATCTCTGACCTTTTAGCACTTACCCCAAGAGACACGATGCATGAGTTAGCAACTAGGTGGGTTGTACTACCTTGACATAACAGTGAGTGAGGTGTGTGTGTGTGTGTGTGTGTGTGACATCCTTTATAATTCAGTTTCTCTCCTGATGCCACTTCATGATGGGACCTGGTAAGCATCAGACCAGGTAGCCAACCTGGTTCGAACATGAAAGTTATTTCCCTGAAAGATAGAGTCATGTGCCCCTGTGCCTCTCCAAGCCCTTCAGAGTACTATGGGGAGTGAATGCCAGTGTGCTACATGAACCTTTGCCTATGGGCTTTTCATTCCTCCACCTGCCCCATGACTTCTCTTACATTTCAGGTAAGTTGCTTAATAGAACTTGCTGTCTGAATGGAGGGACCTGCATCCTGGGGTCCTTCTGTGCCTGTCCTCCTTTCTTCTATGGACGCAACTGTGAACATGATGAACGCAAAGAGTAAGCGCTGTTGGAGTGAACAGGGCTGGATGATGGGAAGGAAGGGGGGGACAGGAATTTCCTGACAGTGGATGTTGTCTCTTCTCTCTCAGGCACTGTGGGTCTATCCTCCATGGCACCTGGCTGCCCAAGAAGTGTTCGCTGTGCAGATGCTGGCAAGGACAGCTCCACTGTTTTCCTCAAACCTTTCTACCTGGCTGTGGTAAGCAGCTGTCCCTCTTTCTTTAATTCTTTCAGGTCCTTCAGATACCCAAGGGACTCCCTTTCTACCTCCTGTTCTGCCAGAGCCTTCTTCATTGCCTGACAGGACCTGCCAGACAGCCAGACCTCTGCTTATAAAATAGCATAAAGACACCAGGGGCATACAACCTAGGAATCCTTTGCAGGTGCTCTCTCAGGCACTGGGCCCTTAGGGAATGCTCCCTTAGCTAGAAACCCTGGGAAAGAATTCTTTGATTGTGCATCGTGGTGACCCAGGGTCACTGATGGATGATACCTTAAGTGTATGAGGTTCTAACATTATGGGATCCTTGGGGGTGCTCCCTCAGGCACAAGTTATTCAGATGTGGGGTTCTTAGTGGACATGCCCTCAGATGCAAGGCCACTGGGGAATGTTCCTAAAGCTCTAGCTTAGAGGGGGGAATGATCCCCCGGTGTTCGGAGTTGTTGGTGTGCGATCCCTGATCCAGTGGATCTTTAGGCGGTGTGGAGTCCTGGCTGAAGGACACTCCATAGGCTCCTACCATCCCACTACCTACAGAGTTCCCTCAAGTCTACTTGAGACTGATAGTCAGTGGGCTTCTGCTGGAGACAGTGAACAGAAAAAGACCTCTAGCCATTTAGACACGAAGAAGTGCTTTCTGCTGTCTTTCCCTCTGGCTAGAGATTCCCAACAGACTTGAGGGTGGCCATTTAGTTAGAATCCAACCCTACAACTAATCCCTCCTTTACCTCTGTTTTTGGTTTTCCGAGACAGGGTTTCTCTGTGTAGCCCTGGCTGTCCTGGAACTCACTCTGTAGACCAGTCTGGCCTCGAACTCAGAAATCCGCCTGCCTCTGCCTCCCAAGTGCTGGGATTAAAGGCGTGCACCACCACCGCCCGACTGTTTTGTTTTATTTTTGATAAAGTATCTTATTCTGTATCCCAGGCTGGCCTAGAATTTACTCTACAGTCTAAGCTGACTGATCCAAGAATACACCACTAGCCTGGGATCTACAAGCACTTTGACCCCACTGGTGACCTTTTCAGACAAGGTCTTACCATGTAACCCTGGCTGACCCAGAACTCAGAGATCCGCCTGCTTCTGCCCCATCCCGCCCCATCCCACCCCATCCCACCCCCAATACATGAGCTACCATGACTACTGGTTCTTCCCGAATCCTAAAGGCTGTGGTAGCTGGTCACAGCACCCTTCATCTTACAGCTCTGAGGAGATAATGACAAGGGGCTCAGGACATAGAAGAGAGCAGGGAAACTAGTGATGGCCCCACCCCACGTGGCTGGGGCTTTATTTGAGCGTCTCGTATCTGGACGCTTATAATTGACTATGCAAGTTCATTGAGCAAATGAGACTGTTGTGTCATCTGGTACAAGCTGGAGCCCTATTACCCCCCAGTAGAGGGTCGGTGTCTTTACCATTGCATCCTGGGTGTTGTGCATAGATTAGCAAATGACGGTAGAGTGATTAGATGAACAGGGGCCATATTTGCTTCCTGGAATTTAGGTCCTGAGATGTATTGTTCCCTTACCAGAGCCTAATCAAGATCTGCACCAACACTGGAATAGAAAGTATCCAGGAAGCCAGGTAGTGGTGTTGCACGCCTTTAATCCCAGCACTTGGGAGGCAGAGGCAGGAGGATTTCTGAGTTTGAGGCCAGACTGGTCTACAGAGTGAGTTCCAGGACAGCCAGGACTACACAGAGAAACCCTGTCTTGGGGAAAGAAAGAAAGGAAGGAAGAAGGAAGAAAGAAAGAAAGTGTCCAGGGAAGTCAGTTAACAGTAGGTCTGTGGTTTTGATGTTAGAGTGTCATGTGGCTACTGTTGATCCTGTAGGTAAGTACACTGTCCTCATAGAATTAGGCCCAGCAGAGTTCTGGATCTTATAGACAGGCATGAGTTCAGGCAGTGAAGTCAGCAGGGTAAACTGCTGGAGGGACTTCCTTTAATGACCGAACATCTCAACCTTTCAGATGGTCATGTGATGGACCAGGATCTCCAAGCATCCGGGACTCTGCGGCAAACACCGTCTGTGCCAACCACTTTTATCCTAGCTGGCATCTGCCTTTTTCTAGAAGTGAAAGTATAGGTGTCACGTGAATTCTGTGCCAGTGTCGTAACAAAGACATCATTCATCTTAAGTAATGCTCATAGAAAGTCCCTAACATTACCCCTCAAAACACTAACTAGGCCTTACCTCTGCACGGCCCCTCTTTCTGGATGTGCTGGTTGTAAACTCATGGCGTGTGTGCAAAGTGCTGTAACATCAGGTTACATCTCTAAACAGTTCTGAAGATTATTAAATCCTAATGTGCAACTGGAAGTAAATCCAGAATAGGTGAATACAGCTAAGAAGTTGTTATCTTTAGGCAGGGAGGTGGTGCTGCCTACCTTAAATCAGGCAGAGGCAGGTGTATTTCTGAGTTCCAGGACAGCTAGGCCTATACAAAGACACCCTGTCTCAGAAAAACAAGGAAGGAAAACAATTATCTTAAAAGAAAGTTAATGAGCCAGGTATTGTGGCTTTAATCCCAGCACTCATGAGGTAAGCATCTTACTACAAGGGAGTTGTAGAAGTAGCAAGGGTCTGTGCAGAGGGAGAGTTCATGGCCAACCTGGGTTATGTTCTGATGTTATGTTCTGGGTTATGTTAATGTCCCAGGTCTGCAAAGACTGAATGGCAATACTCTCTCACAGAAAACCCTAACAGCTAAATCTCTTCTGTAAAATTACAACGGCTTTCCCTAAGCTATGCAATTACATCAACTGTTGTGGAGGAAAGAAAATGTTTATTATTGTAGTAGTAAACCAGATTATAAAACCATATGTTGTCAAGACAGTCTTTATAATATATTGTTCATGAATATGCACAGTAAAAATAGGAAATGTTGATCAAAATGTGAGTAGTGTCTATGTCTATGTGGTAAGTTTAAAAATAGTTTGTTGTGGTGGGTGGCCTCCCCCCCCCATACTTTCAAATTCTCCATGGTGAGAATACATGTTTAATGTGTTTTCATAAGGAACATGGCAACAAGCCAGATAAACACCAAGAATCTGGTGGATCTTCAAGTTGTATTTTTTTTTCTTTTTTACATATGATTTATTTACTACGTATCCAGAATTCTGCCTGTGGGCCAGAAGAGGACACCAGATTTCATGGTTGGTTATGAGCTACCATGCTGTTGCTGAGAATTGAACTCAGGACCTCTGCAAGAGCAAACAGATTTTTTTTCCCCCAGACAGTGCCCTTAACCTCTGAGCCATCTCTCCAGCCCTCCTTTTTTTTATTTTTTTGAAACATGGTCTCATTTTGAATGTAGCCCAGGCTGGCCTTGAATTTTGGATCTTTCAGTTTCCTGAGCTAGAGAAATGTACCACCAGTTTGTTTTATGTGGTACTGAAGACCAAATCCAGGACTTCGTGTGCTCTATGCAAACATTCTACCTGCTGAGCTACATTCTCAGAGCACCCCCACACCCCCAAAGGAGCATCAAAAGCCAGGTATTATAGCTCGTATCTCTTATCTCAGCACTGAAGATTCTGAGACAGGAGTCAGCTTGGGATACATAGTGGGACTATGTGTGTCTGTGTTGGGGGAGAGGGGGTTGAAAAGATGCCTCGGTGGTTAAAGCACTGATTTGGCTTCTAGCACCCACATGGCAGCTCACACAGCCACCTATAACTCCAGTTCCAAGGAATTCACAGTCCTCTGGTCTCAGGCACACACGGGCATGCGAGCACACGCACACACACACACAATATTAAAATTTAATCTTGGGGCTAAAGAGATGGCCCAGCAAACAGTATTTGCTGTTTTTGCAGAGGACCTAAGTTTCAGGTCCTGGCACCCAAATGGTAACTTACATAACTCCCATTCCAGGGGCTCAGATGCCCTCTTCTGCCCCCTAGAGGCACCAGGCACACAAGTCTTTTAAAAATGGGTACAGAATAATTCAGAGACACTTTACATTGACCTGTGATGTCCACACTCACATGTGGATACATATACACAAAATAGACAAATGTGAAAATAATTTAAGAACAAAACTTACGACCTGGGTGTGGTGGCACACACCTTTGGTCCCAGTGCTGTAAGCATGGGTCATACTCTTGTCTATGAGATTCCTTTGCAAGCAGTTTGATCAGCTGTATTGGAATTCTTGACTCTCAGCCAGTGAGAGATGTAAACCAGAGCTGGGAAATGTTGGGCTTTTGACCTTTCTCATGTCCCGTTAACTTTTACTTGTGATCATGTTGGGAAAGACAGTTAAAGGGGCTCAGTCACACAAGTCAGGTAATCTTCAGGGGGTTAATAGGAAAAAGGAGACAAAAAGGGAGTTGGGTTTGCTCAGATGACAACAGGCAATCTAGTCAGGCCTGTGACCCAATCTGTCAACTGATATCACAGAGTTCTAGAGAAGTTGTCATCACTTGTGGGGACACTGGTTCCCATGAGATGATTCCTGTTCACTCCTGCTTTGGGGTCTGTTCCCATCTTGAGATGCCATTGATCTCATCTTGGAGGCCCAGCGGTTGCTTGGATGTGTGGTGGGGGCACAGGGGTTAGTGATTTCTCTTGTCACATATCAGTCCTATCTTCCTTGAAATCTAAGGTAACTGCAGAAGAGAGTGAGTCATGGGGGAAAAGGGAAATCAGAAGACACAAAGCAGATCTCCAGCCAAACAGTGGCGAGCCCTGAACAAAGAAGACTGGTGTTAACAATAGGGATAATACAGTTTCCTCTTTTTTGTTTATCTTTATTTAGTTTTATCTTATTTTGGGGATCTGGCTGTCCTGGAACTCGCTCTGTAGACCAGGCCTTACACAAAAAGGTCCCTTCTTTTGTTCCTTATAAATGACCTCTTTAGAGCTTCTTTCTGTCAACACGTTACTGGGCTTAGAGACTCCAACCTCAGCTGATGAGATGGCTCAGTGATTAAGAGCACCGACTGTTCTTCAAGGTCATGAGTTCAAATCCCAGCAACCACATGGTGGCTCACAACCATCCTTAGTGAGATCTGATGCCCTCATATGGGTGTCTGAAGACAGCTACAGTGGACTTTGGTCCAAAGCAAGCAGGGCAGGAGCAAGGGAGAAGGGAAGGAGGAAAAAAAGACTCCAACCTTACTGTGCCTCTGCTCCAACCCCTTCTTTAAAAAGCCACCATCAGGCTGGTCACAAGGCTGCTTTATGGACAAGCTGTGTCCCTTGGGTCCCATAGACACGCTTGAGCTAACATGACTGGCCTCAGAGGCTTCATTTGGAATGTCTGGAAAGACCTCAAAGTCTCTTGCCCAAAATAATCTTCCCAAAAGTTCTGCCAAAGAGTCTTCCCTGCTCTCAATTTTCTTCAGGGAATGACCTGGAAGACTCCAGAAGACAGGCTAGTATAATCCAGACAGCTTACTAGCTGTGTCTACCTCAGTAGCCAGGCAGGGGCTGCTTATCCAAAGGTAATCGAATATGGATCAGATTTATAGAGGGCTTGAAAAAGGTCAGGACAAGAGTCACACAAATCCAACCCCATTGGTTTTGCAACTCCTGTCATTTGTCAGTTTCAATGGGGTCCTTCAAGACAAGTCACCAGGAGCCTGAGCTTCCAGTTCTCTACAGTTACCCACCATGTAATGGCCAGCATCTCAGGCCACTCAGAGGCAGTGGTCAGAGGAAGGTTGTTATCAAGTCACCGTCTTACAGAATCCCCAGGTCCCACAGCTGTGTGGTGAGGTCTTCAGTATACAGGAAATGGAGCACACAGGTCCTGCCGTCTCAGCTCTCTGTCAAGCCCTGGCTGACCTCTGCCCGAGACACTGGGCTCTCCTGGGTCTGTTCCCCTCCACAGGCCTCCACACTTTTAGCTTTCTCTACAGTTGCAGGATATAAGTTACCTCCATAGTGCTCACCTGACACAGACTAAAAAGATTCGTTTGGGCCTATGATTTTTTTGACACTTGTTTATTTATCCAATTATTCATTTATTTTAGTGTGTGGGGAGCATACGTGCCTCAGGTCTGAGGACAACCCTTGTTAAGTTGGGTCTCTTTCCCTCTGTGTGTCCTAGGGATTGAAGATGGTCATCAGGTTATGTTGCAAACGCCTTTAACCACTGTGTCGTCTCACCAGCCCTGGCTTGAGATTTGAAAGGGTTTTGGCCTGCCTCGGCAGGAAAGGCATAACAAGTTATGGCAGTGGCCCCGGGTGGCTGAAGTAGCCACACCTTCCCCAGATCTCAAAGAAGTAGAACAATAAGTTGCAGAACTTGAGTCTGAGGGAGACATTTCACAGCCAGAACATCCTGACCCCTAGGCTTATGTGAAAACGCGCCGTCTTCCCAATCGCCTTTCATGAATTTCACAGATACCATCCTACATATTTCACACCCTCTCTGTCTATGAAGAAACGAATGGCTGATGAATCCTATGTAAAACATCATGGGGTCCTGGAGGAAATGACGCCCACCCCATGGAACAATAGAAAGGACTGTTGTCAATCACTAGGAAGACCTGTGTGCCCGGCCCTGGGAAAGCCTTTCCTGCTATGGTCAGCTTTCCCCAAAAAGAGCTGTCAGTTGTGTTTCTTGCTGGACCTCTGTGGCTAGTGACACATGAGCTCAGCTTTCGTTCAGTCTACAGACTCAGTCCTTCCTTACAAACGGCTCACCGTCTCATCTGTGAGTCGCTGGCTGAACCAGGTTACCACCTTCCCGGAATCCACTCTTGACGGTTAGCATTCCGGGTGCAGGCCTGTCTCACTGGCTGTTTTGCTTGGCCCATTTGGTGGAGAGTTTTTTGAGCCTGGCTGTCATCTCCCATGGGGCAGTTCTCTGTCCCTACTATTTATTTCTCTTTCCCTGCTGCCTTCACATCTAAAAACTGTTCTTTGTAGCCAAGAGTGTCTGCTGTACTGAATACAAACTTTTCAAATCCAACTGGCCCCTGGCAGTCTCTTGAATTTTCCTTCATCCTTTTAGGACAGCCCATGGTAACAAATTGTAGCTGAATAAACCCTCTATTTCTAAGAAGGAAGAGCAACGGCAGGGATATGCCGGTAAGAACAGGCTTGTCGCCATCTGCCAGGGGGACGGGTCA